AGAGGAGGGGGTGAATTAATTGGCTGTTTTTCAATGGCCTTCACATGACAAAGCGCATAGTGCCATGTTTTAAATTGAAACACCTGATCGAATAGTAGCGAAATATTTGCAATGAAACCGCACAGATTCCTTTGTGTCGTTCTCACAATTCTTCCGCCCACTCTCTCTCTCTCCCTCCCTCCCTCTCTGACTTATCTCATATTTCTACACAATTAGGAACAATTTCCCTAATTAAATTCAATTATACCAGTCTCAGAATTGAACTAATTTCTTTTAGTCATTGGGAACAAATTGAAATATTAGCCCTGTTTAAGTAAAAGGAGCGAGGAGAGATAAAATGGTAAAGGTGAAATTTAGCAGTAGGGCGAGTTTTTATTCAAAATGAGTGGTAATTTAAATTATTTTAGATTTTCAAGGGGTAGGGTAATTGTGTAATATCATGCCGATTTCCCATTTATAAAGACATCAGTCATACAATTTTCAAATTGAAATGTCCAAATTCCACTTGATTAAACCGAAACCTGACAGCGGAAACAGTTTTTTACAAGTGGATGCTTTTCCCCTTTTCTTTCCGAGTAAGCTTCCACCTTCTTCATGATGAAGAAATTTATGAGACCAGCGAATAATGAGTTAGTAGTTTTATTTTGGGGGAAAGATTGGAATTTCCCGCCATAACTGAACAAAATTCGCTGAAATACAGCATTATATTGCACTTTATTAAGTTCAGTTAGTGGGAACCAATTGAGTTGAATGGAGGCGGGAGAAGTGTTAGTGCGCGCTTTCAGACTTTTTTCTTCTTCTTTATCCAGAGGGAAAGGGGGGAGTGCGACGCAGCAGCAGATAGCGTTCCCACTCAATGCAAGCAGAAAGAAATATCACACCTTAATTCTCTCCTCTTGTTACAAATGCATAAATCTAGAAATTTGAAGTGGCCAATTAACAAAGCGAAACTCGGTTATTTGATATGTTTCTCTGACTTGATTTTGAATAAGAGTGCTTTATTCCTTTTTTAAATTATTAAATTATTGAAACTGGAGGATAAATATGCTTTCTGTGGTATAAGATTTCAATATCAATTCTTGATTTACGCCGCATTTTTCGAATTGGTTTGAGTCTGATGACGCAGATGAAATCTCATTTAATTATCTCATAAGTGATGATTTTATACGAAGTTAAAACCCTATTAGTTGTTATTCATTTATCCAAATACCGAACCCAATCACCATTGTGATTTCATGCTAATAGAGGGAGGGAATTACTTATCTTCATTTCCCAAAATGAACAATCCAAAGATATGTTTCTGACAACGTTGAATTGAAGTAGAATTTTCCACATTTGAATGGAGGAATTCCCATGTAAATTGAATTGCGCTTAATGTTAAATGTCGAAAGTGTCCCCCTTACTTTGAGATATCCGAGAGCATTCCGTTTGCTTTGAGTGCAATTGGATGATGATGATGATGGCGATAATGATAATGCTAGAGAGTGAGTTCAAGAACAAAAATTTATATTCTGTTGTGATTCACGAACCACACACAGAGAGAGGTGCACAATTGGCACCACTTCCATTTTTGCTGAGAAGATTGAAGGTGAAAAAGCATGACTATACAGAAACGCTATTACCAAAATGGCAATTTTAAAAGGTATTTTGACACTAGGTAGTTTCCTGGTCATATCTAAGGTTTTTATTTTCTTAAGTAATTTAGGACGATTCATTCAAGTAATCAGGGGACAAAATGCTAAGGTTAAATAAAAAAGGAGCTCTGAATTTTTGGGGCTTGAGAAACCAATCTCTTTATCCAAGAAGACTCCAAAGCATGCGATCCCATTTTTCTTTTAAATAAAAAGGTGCCATATCAATCTAATTCTTATAACAACATTTTTAATATCTTCAGTCATTCTCAGTGTTCTCTAATAGATTAGAGTACGTGAGATCATAGGTCATTCAAGCCGTGTCTATCGCACATCTTCAAAACGTCTCAAAACCAACTGCTGGCCTGTAAATGAAAGACACCAACCTAGTTAAAACCCTGTATACCAAGGAGCTATGAATATTAAAATGTGAAATCATGTAAATATGAGGTAAAAGCCACATCCCACATTCCTATTTAAAGGAGTACACCGAGAGTTATCAACTTCGGTCTGGTTTTAAATCCTATTGCTTAAAAACATACTGGAGCAGGTCCGCTTTTAATTATAAGAATTAATACTATAATGAGGACAAATTGACATTTAACCCGGCTGTGTTCTAATAAAAATAACTTTACCCAGAAATGTGTTTTGATGTAAAAGTGATAGATATTGCGAATTAAAAACCCCTAAAAGTCTACGGACTATACGGGTGTTTCGCAGCCCTGGCTACGTCAACCTTGATCCCTTATAATTTGTAAATAGAGCTGAGGAGGATGTATGCTATAAAAAACACCTTCATATATTATTTAATTGCATGATGGCACACCTTTTAACTAAAGTAATCAAGTGCTTGCTTTAAGCCAATTACCACTATTAGACCGTGTCTATGCAAAATGAGAGTGTTTGAGTAGAAGAATAATCTTATCAAAGCTTAAATGCACACACGCGAAGTAGCCTGTCTGTTACCTCCCCCCCCCCTTTTGTCAAGACGAAGTGAGCGTGTTGTAACAGGCGAATTGGTGGTGCAGTTTAAAGCACCTCAAAGTCCTCCCGAGCTCTCTCTCCCTTGCTCCAGCACAGTTAATGGTAGGCTAAGTTAATCTGATAACCACCAAAATAACTCGAGACGAAGATTAATGGGCTCTCTGGTCGGATTATTTTAATAAGTTTGGCGAAACGTTTTTTTCAGTTATGCAAGGCCATATTTCAAAGAAACGAAAAATGATTGTTGCATAAATTAATTGATGTCTATCTTATTTATTTTAATCGAATTACACTATTTCTTCCACTTATGCAATTGTCATTAGGTCCATGGGTATTCAAAAACTACTCAAATGTGAAAAAGCTTGTTTCATCTTTTGCAGATGAGAGAGATTGTTGAAATTCGAAAAATTTGAAGATAGTAAACTTGTTTCAATTTCGGATAGATGCGGAGAATTAAAAAAAGAAAATAGTGATTTTTATTAGCTTTTAAAATAAAACTTGTGATGTAAGAGAAAGCAAATCCATTCATGAATCTTTTTACTTCATTCTTGTGATTTGCTACAGGTTTGCTCTTTTAACTTCACCCACGGTATTTTCGATGTCTGATTAAAAATAAATTGACCAACTTTTCCCGAATTATAAGGTTTGATCTAAATTCTACATTTTTGTTACCTTATACCAATAACCAGCATATAACTGAAAACGACTAAGTTAGCTGGTAATTTCGATAAATTCAAAGATATTACTTAAATAACGGTAAAGTCAAAGCCTTGGAAAAATTATGTACTCTCTTGAAAAAGAAAATACAGGAGTATTTTGAGTATCCAAATAAATAATGGAAGTGGATCAACAGTTAGGACTTTCATAGAGTAGTTTTAAAACTCTAAATAATCCATTTAGCTTTCAATCAGGACTTAACTAGTGCGTTTCATTAGGACAATAATTAATTTAAAATAGGGTGCAAGAACATTTTCATGCAAAAAATAACAGTTAAATTCGAATATGACATTCAGTATTTAACAGGCATTTTATGGATATAATCAATTTTCCAAATGGGCCATTTTCAGATTTACAACAATTAAAAATACATAATTTTAATTCTGACCATTCAGCAAATAAAAATATTAAGTCATGCATTAAAAAGTATGCCATTGTAAGGATAATGATTTCAACTTACTCGGATTAATAGCTTCATTTTTAGCCTGTTCTCCAAGAGTCCAAGGAATAGGAAGTAGAAGAAAATATGCAGCAAATACGTGGAATAAGAATGCAAGTGGGAACTTCGTACTTTGAGTCCTTTGTAAATTGCAAGATCGTTTCTTTCTAGCTGGTGAGAGGGAAGTTGATCTATTACTGGGATCATCAATTATGATTGAGTTAGGAAATAATTCGGAAGAATTGAGGAAAACAGATCCTGGAGTGAGATAATCACCATTTGCACAAAGTAAAAACGCCATTAAAAGCGTAAATGCTGAAGAAACTACGATGCAGTTGACGTAAAAATGAAGAGGTACGGCATCCCAAACAAGCCCATAACGTGCATCAAATATCTGAGTTCGAATAGATACATACCTAAAAACTCCACGGGTTAGCACACAGATTTGAAGAATCAAAACCAATATGCAATGCCAACACTGAATTATTCCACCGAACTTAAAACAACATTTCATTTCTTGAAAATTGAACCACGACAAAATATCAGTTGGGCATAATTCGCGGTGGTATTGAGCAAACCTTTCAGGGTTATCAAGAGTCTTTTGAACTAGTTAAACATCTGGAGAAACTGTATAATTGGTGAGCTGAAATTTAAAAATATTATCCAAAATATTCATACGGGTTTTTATTTACTGTGGCTGTTCAATGTCGTTAATTAGGATTTATTTCAACTTAAGCCAAACAATGTAATCTGACTATTTATTAACTACATTTCAGATTGTCATTGGAAATAAAAAAGAATATAACAGAAAATAGGTTATTTAATTATTAGCTTAATCGTATACACTGTCATATGAAGTCACTGGTATGAAACTAGACTTTTATTTGTCAACAAATTCTGGGTTAGCTCAATTAAAAAAATTTAATCCAATCTACTGTATTCGTTATCAATAAAATATCTACTTGTGGAAAATTTTTAAAATGGTCAGTTAATAACGTTTTGAACAAACAACTTTGTTTCTTAATTCATCAGCCTATTGTCATTTCATTCAAGATTACTTTCGCTTATTTATTTTACTTCCTTCAATAAGTTATGTTGGTATTGAAAAAATAAACATTTCTATTTCAATAAGGCTGATAAAGTATTCCTTTAATTACACTCTCTGGATTTAACTAACTTAAGTATTCTATGTAGAAGGTTCTATATTATGATTATTCCCCATGGCAAGACTAAACACTATCGAGTGTTTTGGTCCAAACACCTTGAGGAACTGAAAACAAAGCGGAACGCCCTTCAAACACCTTGAGGATAAACACTATCGAGTGTTTTGGTCCAAACACCTTGAGGAAGCTAAAAGAAAGCGGGACGCCCTTCGCAACACTGCTGATCAGTGTAAGAGGGACGCCCTTCGCAACACTGCTGATCAGACTGGCAAAGCGGAACGCCCTTCGCAACACTGCTGAACAGACTGGAAGAACGGAAGATGTACAAACCGGGAGACGGCAGTCAGCTGTTCTAGGGCAAGCCTTCTTACAAAATAAACGGAATACTTTCGACGACTTCATCTCAAATATCAACTATTAAAATGATAGCCAACGGACTTTCAAATTCCAAGAAAGAACCAATACGCCTAGACAACAAACTGCTTACCACAGACTCCGAAATAGCTAACTGCTTTGCGAGGTTCTATTCCCAAAATAGCTAACTACTTTGCGAGGTTCTATTCCCACAAGCAGTAGCTAACTGCTTTGCGAGGTTCTATTCCCACAAGCAAAATTAACTGCTTTGCGAAGTTCTATTCCCACAAGCAAAAGAAACCTTTGCGAGATTCTATTCCCACAAGCAAAAGAAAAACCCTACGAGGTTCTATTCCCACAAGCAAAAGAAAAACCCTTTTGTCAGTGACTCTTCAAGAGATATAAAGAAACAAGTAAGACAGTTTGGTGAAACTAAAGAAGACACAACAATACCAAATTATGTACTTACTGAACCATTCAGACCATTCAGATAAAATAGCTAAAGTGGGAAAAGTCCCGGGATTTCTAGTTAGAATGAGGCCAAAAGCCAAGGAAATAATGCTGACACTTTTCAACAAAATCTGGGAGACCAGTCTCGTACCTAACCAATGGAAAGCCGCCATAGTAATACCAATACTAAACAGGGCAAAGACCCTAGCAACTTTGACAACTATATGCCTATCTCCCTCACAAGCGTTCTGGCTAAACTTATGGAAAGAATGGTTAACAGGAGGCTGACCTGGTTCCTTGAGACCAACAATATGCTTTGAAACGAACAAGCAGGTTTTAGGCCCCAAAGATCAACGAATCAACAAGTAGCCACTCTCTCCCAACATATCAAAGATGCCCTTGATGCAAGAAATATCCTTACGGTTGTATTTGTCGATTTCAAATCAGCATATGACTTAATATGGAAAGAGAAGCTAATTCTAAAATTGGCAAAGATTGGTATTAAGCATAACATGCTAAACTGGATAAAAGCATTCATTGGACAAAGATCATGTAAAGTCAGATATGGAAACGATCTGTCCAAATCTAACCTCTTATTAGCAGGCCTGCCACAGGAAGCTGTCACAAGATGCACTCTTTTCAACGTCTTCATCAATAACATAGCCGGACTGGTACAGACATTCACGGTCAACAAGTGCTTACTTTATCAGATGATCTTATTCTACGGTATTTCGTCTCTAAGAAAAACGCTCAGGAGAGGACGGAAAGTGCCCTAAATGGTGCACTT